AATTCTGCACTTTCCCAATCAAAATCCAACCAAAGATAGTTTCTAGAGCGGAGGGCTGACCATTTGTACCCGGAATCCGCCCGGAAAGTAAAATATGGGGGACTAGTTCTGCCCCAATCCAGACGTCAATCGCTCCGGGAACTTGACACGTTTTATCCGCTAAATTGAGATGCTTGATATGCTCCCAGCGACTGCCGTTGAGGGGAATCGAAGGCATGTCAGTGCACAGATTGGGTAGGACGATGGCCTCGAACGAAAAGACGGGAGTCGACAAGTTTTGAGGTTTTATGCGGCAATGAGTCATACCATTGGAGGTTTGCGAACGCATCTGATTTAAGCCAAGAATAGGTATATTATACCTGCGCCGTAGTAATCCTAATTGCCGAATACATTTTTCTGAGATGAAGCTAGCTTGGCTAGCGGAATCGATAAGAATGCGAATAGGCCGATAATGTCCGGTAGAGTCCTGAATGTCAACCATCGCGGTACCTAGTAGGACGGTGGAGGTAGCGCAGCTTGTGGCATAACTCGATGATGCGTTGGCGGAAAGGCCATCACTCTGACAGTTATCTCCAGACGACGATTGCGAATTACCTGGGGGATCCCGACCAGAAGAGGGAGTTCCTTGCCGGGTCATGTGCAACAAAGTATGATGTGAATAATTACAAGATCGACAACGATAATTGCTTGGACACTTTTTCAGAAGGTGAGACGACGACAAACAATTCAAACAGAGGTTGGCTTGCTTCGCAAAGGTGAATCTTTCATTGGGAGACTTAGAAGCGAATGCGGGACATCTCGTTAACAAATGATTTCCTTTACAAAGCGCGCAATTTTGCGTCAACGGAATCACGTTAGTGAAAGACGAGCAGTTATTTTTTGGGGTATGACTTTGGGGATACGAAGGTCGTTTGGGGGGTTGCAAGGGCTGTTTAAGACTCAACGAGGGTTTTGCAGCAGATAGGTCCTGTACAGATTCTAAGGCTTTGCAATGGGTTTCCAAAAATTTGATTAAATCATCAATAGAAGGGATCTCTTTCTTGGTCACTGCCACTTCAAACTCCGTTCGAATTTTATCTTCTAACTTTTGTAGCAAGGTATTGAGTAAAAGAAAATCACTGAGTTTGTCTACCTGAAAACCCAGATTTTTTAAAATGGAAAGACCTTCCGAAAAATTATCCAAGAGTTTCCTTAACTCCTTGGCATTACTGTTAGATTTCAAATTGAAGGTGAGGATACAAGTTAGCGCATGCGTGGCTATGAGTCTTTTGTTTTGATAGCGCTTTACGAGCATGTCGTAAGCGGTGCGATAATTAGCGTCGCTGAGGGGTAGCGACTTCACCAAATTGAAGGGTTCGTCTTCCAAAAGTGATAGCAAATGTCGAAACTTTTCAACGGGAGATATGTCTGGGTCGTCATGAACGGTGTTCCGAAAACAATCGAAAAAGGTAGGCCACATCTTCAAGTTTCCGTTGAACTTTGGTAAATTCAGCGTAGGCAAGTGAGATCGAGACCTTTGAGACGATGGCGCCAAGACAAGAGGCGAGTGACTAGGGAGGGCGGAGAAGAGCTCATTATACGTTGATTTTATCGAAAAGTAATAGGTATCAACTTGCTTTCGAATAGCGTCTTCGGATTTAAATCCGTCATCGTCCACCACGAATACGACGTGATTGTGAGTGGTATTAAACTGCTCATACATTTCTTCCAAGGAAGCATATCGAGTTTTAAAATCAAGGTGAATATCGGGTCTCGTTTTGGCATTTACAGCGATAGTGTACATTTCTGTAATCCTATTCGTCCAAATTAGTCTCTTTTGCGAGTACGATTTATGCTGCTTTTCATCTGCCATGGTGCGAATTAAAGTTTATGTTAAGGACAGTCAGTCGAGAAAAGAACAGGAGTTTCCAAAAGCAAAAGAAGGAAATTGTTTCCCTTGATGAATAAATAATAACCAAATGTGAGCTGAGCTTTTTCCTCTTCAATTTAAATTTGTATTTATTTTAATTATCTAAAAGCAGGCCCAACCAACAACGATAAAGGACTGAGTTTTTTGAGTTTTGTGAATATCGAAAAATTGTAAAATCGAAGCGAAAAATGGCGTGATAATATTATTCACAAAATAACTAAAAATTGTAAAATTGTACCTACTTGTTGCTTTTATGAGCTTTATTCCGTCCAAAAACGACAATTATTCTTAAACTTGTTTTATCAGTAGTTGATTACTTTCAATTTGAATACCTATTTTATAGCTTTTGGACGAAAACGACAAAAAACTGCAAATTCCAGAGCTTATTGTTACCTGATACCGCCTGTGACAGCTTATTTTAATATTAAAAAGGTAGATAAAATGCCTGAAAATCAACGAATTTATTTATTGATTGATTGATTTTTAATTTATTTTTCAAATATCCGCTCGTGGGACCAATTAATGAGGATGCAATTATTGTGTTTGAATTATTAGTGGACTGTATTGCGATTATTGCGTCCTTATTACACGAAAAAATGAGAAATTAAGTGAGGTCATGCAAAAAGGTTTTGTCGCTTACCCAATTTGGCTTCTGTGGTCTCGTAACTTTAGGGGCGCCCCTGGAAGGCTTTAACTCACGATCAATTGTTCAAACGGCGAAATATGTACGATAAAAACTCAACGGTCGCGAAAATCTTTTGGGAACCGCCGAGACATGGAGTGGGTACGCACCAAAAACCGCAACTCTCGTATCAAAATGTACTATTGGTACTGTTCTACCCTTTTCGCTAGGTATTTCTAGGAGGCGCGCGCTGCGCTTCTATTCTTCAGCGATATATGGAACGCAAAATGCATGCCTCTATTATACAGGGTCAAATTTGACCCACAAAAAGTTAACGCGAAATCATTGCATCAACAACTTATAAATTTCAAAGAAATAATTAATGATCTAGAGAGAATGGGAATGTTTTTTTGAATTATGCTCCCGTTCCCCTTTTATATAACAAAATTATAGTTGTTTTATTGGGAAAAATTCTTCTAAGGGATATCCATTTGAATGTGACACTTGCAAGGCAAAATTTAAACAAAAAGGTAATTTACAAAGGCACATTTCAACACACTCGAATATTTATCCTTTTGAATGTGACACTTGCAAATCAAAATTTGAACGGGAAAGCCGATAGATTCACAAACTAACACATTCGGAAATTTATTCATTTGAATGTGACACTTGCAATGCAAAATTTAAGCAAAAATATAATTTTAAAAGCCACATATTTACACACAGATTGTTTATTATTTGATTCACTTAGGGCCGATACTTTTGCCCTCGATTAACGAATTTGATACGTTGTCAAAATTTTGCATGGGCCAAGGTCTAAAAAGTATGATGTGGTTAGAGCACATTCTAAGCCCTGATTATTTTTAACGGCTGTCAAATGAGAGCTAAAGTACCGGCACTTAATAGTGAGATGTGTTTCGCTCCGTAATCCTTGAATTCGGCCACAAAATTCACCTGTTCCGGAATAAGGAAAAGGGTGACAATTTTACGATAATTGGACTTGGCCCAATCGGTTATCGGATACGTGAATATTTTATGACCCATCGGCCATCAGTATCAATCTGCAAATCGGTACACTGAGATAAAGATATGTATTAAATCAACTTATTTACTTCTTATAAATAGCTTAAATCTCAGGCATGGCGGAGGAAAATCCAAAACTTAAACTTAAGCATTGAATATAAAACAAAGATTCAGAAATCGGTAAATCGTTACATAATTGTTTCGGAATGATGTTTTTGGAGAATCAAGAAAATAGCGATTTCTTTGTTTTTGAGTTGTTAGCTATTCAGCCGAATCACGAAGTTCTAGTTAAATTTTCAGATTATCTCATCGACACATGACACATGCCTCGATAGACCTGGATAAGACAACAAATGCCTGTGAATCTTACCATAGTCATTTTGGTAGATCTTTTTATTTTGCGCATCAAAATACATATTTACACTTTTTTAGATTTATTAACTCATATGCAATGCGAAATTTGTCAACATCATAAGGTAAGTTTTATGGGCAGTAGGTTGGGTTTCATGATTTGGCCGAATTCAGATGTAGGATTACTGCAGCTACCTGGTTTGTGGCCGAATTCAAGTATGCCCGTTTCGCTCATACGAGCATCATCGGATCTACAAAATAATATATGTAGAAAAATTATTACGGGCGGCTAGCCCCACAGATAAACGGGGCGGGGATTAGTCAATAAACACATTTGGTTTCCTCTGTGTATTTGAGACTTCTATGACAGAATTCTTTTTAGTAAGAAATAGTCAAAATTAATAGTTTTCAAAAGTGCTTACTTTTAAACATTGATGTCTCAAAAACTAATCGTACGTTTTAGATTTTGCTATAAGACTGTAAAGGGAAATCAACGAGCTATCCAACGATGTGCAGCACAAGGTAAGGTAGTATTGAAAAAAAAGTAATAAGTTATGGGAGCTACCCCCTAAGGGGTGAGGCCGGGTGCCTCGTACGTATTTGAGATCTTTATAGTATTTTTTGTCTTGAGAGATATTCCCGATTGCTATTTTTCAAATTGTAACTCTATATGTACCTAAATAGTGCGGTGGCATTGGTGGTTGCGTTCCGTTTTCCTATTCCGATATACATTAACGTTTTCTATTTTATTAAAAATAAAGTCGCAAAATCGGTCCGCGATCATAGTTCAACTAATATCAGAAGTTTTAATATTTTTTATTCAAGGAAAATAATTAAAATTTAAGAAATTTCCAGGGGGGGGGGTCGAGTGACTCCCCCTGACCCTCCCTTTGGGCCTCCTTGGTGGGTGATTTATTTGGTAAGAGCAACACAGTATCCTACCACCAACATTAATTCGATGTAGCGCTAACTTCAAACCAAGGACCATCCATAACTTATCGATTCGTCGGTCTGGTCGCCACTTATCCTTACAACTTCACTGTTCACGCGATAATTTCAGGAAATTAAATCAAAAGTCGTTTATAACTTCGTAAATGATTTTATTTTCATCATTTTTATCGATACAGTGTGTATAATACATTGATAGGTTTGTTTTTTTATATATAATTCTGTAACAAGCAGGACTGTATCATGCGCAATCTTGACTGTCTCGGCCATTTATATTTTTGATATGTCGGCTGCCAAGTTCACAACCATTCAATTTTACAAATCACTATAGAAAATTGATTTCAAAGGGACATGACTTTATTCAATTTCTTGGATTAAAAAAATGGACAATAATTTCAAATATTATCTTGAATTTAGTTTGTTCCCGTTATTATGAATTTAAAAAAAAAAAACAAATTTTACTATATGTAACAGCAATTGTCCATTTATTTTGAAAAAAATTTGTGCGTTCAATTTTCTGAAATATATAAAGTTATGCACCTTGAAATAAAATTCTAAAAATAACTGTCACTCATTTTTTTTTTTCAGCCAAAATCAGAAAATCAAAAGGACTAAATCCAGCTTTGAAAGAAAGCCTATTGAAGACATAATCATTTTGTTTTTCAAATTGATAATGTATTTCATAAAAAGCGTATATTTATCATCAGGAATAGAGAATAATAATAACTATTTACAAGAAGAAAACGTTTTGTTCATTTAGCAAAAATTTGAAGCATATCAGAATTCAAATTTTCGCCAATATTTGAAACAGGAGATAATAAATTTTGGAACATTTTTTTGTGATTAAATAACATTAAATAGCATTATAGTATCTTACATGTGTATGGTATTTTTGTTGGTTTTTGTACACGGAACAAAAACGAAGTGCTTGCAATGATACAAAACAATTCTCAAATTTTCTGAAACACAAAAAAGTGAGAATTGAATTTGTGCGTTTTCAAACAGATATAAGGAAGGCACAACGTAATTAATTGTAAGTAAACGTTGAGTTTTAGTTATTATTTGACAAAGTATATTTTTATTAGTTAAAAGTCAACGTTTATTAACAATTTTAATATTTATTTCTTGTAAAGTTGTGCCAGTTAATATAATTAATCAATAACATTTAAATAATCTTGTTAAAAATTATTCATAATAATGATAATTAATAAGTTGTGGCTCTATTTTATCTAAAAAATCAACAACCAGCACTCAAAAGCTCATCTGAAACTTTTTTAAATGTTCCCTAGAGGTGATAAGAAGTAGCAAACTATTAGCAGAATTAACAATAAGTATATGAAAATATGAACTTCAATGTAATTTTTCATTTAAATTTAAAAAAATATAAAAAAGACAAATTGAATATTAGTAAGTTTTAGTGAATTCAAAAAAACTGATAATTCTGTCACCTTTTAGCTGTAGATAGGTATATTTACTACTCCATACCTTGATTCTAGAGAACAAATTCACATTTGAAAAAGCTATTTAACAATTTAAGTCTTAAAATATAACAATAAGAAATAAGTCTATCAAATTTGTCTTGTTTTGTTTTAAGATATTTGGTCTTCATTTATTTATTTTCATTAATTTTTTTTTGTACTTAAAATCGACCTACTATGATTTTCTTTCAAGTAAATACTGTCATTTGTTTTACATATTATAATTTCATCAATTATTATATAGCGAAATATACATTTTTGGATATGGTAAACGAAGTCGAGCCATTATATAGAAGCTTTTTTGTTTTTATTTTGAACACGTTTTTATATAGGTAATGAATTTTTTTAATAACATATGACCCTTTTTCAGTAACTTTTTGCAACATTCAATAGGTAATTAAATACAAAATATACACTCAAAGTTACTGAAGGATAGTAGAAAAAAGCTTTATCAGTCAATATAATAATTATAAATTTGTGTAAATGAGATAAATATTAACTACAGGAGATCTAGTGTAACAATTACGTTGGATTCTCTTAGTATACTCTAGAGATCATCCCATTACTTTTCATTGAAAAATTTTATATGTAAATATAATATTTTTAGTATTAAAAGCTATTAATTAAATATGTTATACATTTTATATTGTACAGGTTATGATAAAAACGAAACAAATATTATTTTTTTTTCTATAACGATGTTCATATTTGAATAAAGGGTTGTTAACATATTTGTCGAAAAATGAAGATAAAAGTAATTAATAAAATTCATAACATACCTGAACGTTTTTGGCACACCCTGTACTTTTATTTGCATTGCTTCATATAAGAGGACTAGTTATGAGAAATCACTGATTTTGGTTTATCATTGTTGCCATTATAGTATATACATAGTACATAAAGAAGCGAAGCAGATCGAATGCCAAAAATACATATGTATATCAACACATAAAATTTGACATAATTCATGGCAAAATGATATCCAACTACAGACGCATTTCGGTGTTTCTGAACCTCGTCTATGCGAAACTTTATGATACCTAAAGCTAATAATACACCTAGAATTATTGTATTCCTACAACTGTTTGACATTAAACGACCCGTTAAGAACTTTCTCAGGGAATTTTAGGTACTGAGAGATCACTATTGTGTTCATTGTTCGGATATGCCAAAAGAAGCCACCATACCAGATTAAAAACTGTTTAAAAAAATCGAATATATGATTGACCTATCAAACTGGGTCTGGTTTTTCACAAATGTAAACCAAACACACCAAAACATGTGTGCAGCAAGACTGGATACCGGTTTGCCATAATTTGATTTTCTTATGTTTTTTTTTTTGTATAAAATGTATCAAACATGTCCAACGTTTTTGAATTCAGTACAATCTTGAGTCAATCCACCTTGAAGATTTTCAGTAAGTCACATATTTATTTTGAATTCTATACGATATGTTTTATTTTTAATTCATATTGTAACTGGAAAAAGTATGGAACATGTTTTAATCATTTATATCAAACTGTTAATAACAAGGATAAACCAAAAATATTAGCAGAAATATTATACAATTTGTTTATTAAATACAATATATGCCTACCTACGAAAGAATTTTTATTTTGAAAATGTTGCGTTTATTTTTACAGTGGAAATAACTTCAAATTCAAGAATTTTTTACATAAGTATAATGACTTTTACTTAATGAAAGTAAATATAAATGTATTTATTAAATAATTATAAAAAATATTGAAGTTGGTCATTTTAGAACTTCTCACACCTATTTTTTCGCCATCCAAAAAAAAAAAAATATACCAGAAATGTAATTGAGGAAGACAACTTCTCATGGACATGGTAATAGTAAACTCGTCGAGTCAAGAGATAGAGGATACTAAAACTTCAAATTTTTTTTTTTTTTTTAAATGTATGCCAACATCTGGAATCGTTTAATCTGATTTATATTTCGCCCCCTTTCTACTTTGACATACAAAGTTATCCTCCTCAACTATATGGTATTTTCACGGTCTCCCCTCTTGAAGGGGTGAGAAATTCTACGTTGAACTTTCACCTTAACATATATTCAATTCTATTTTTCTAACATTTAGTTTTGATTTTATAAAATTCAAAATACACATTTTGTAAAATGTAAAAACTTGGACATTTATACAAAGAACGTTATTTAGTTAAGACAAGGACTGTACAATTATTATTGTCTTATTTACTTCTCTCTCTCTTGCGCGCATTTTTGGGCTTCTCCTCAAAAAAATAAATAAACATAAACGCAACATCCTCAAAAAATCCTCCCTGAAATAATCAACATCTTATCCTATCAATTCTGTTAACCAATCCGTATCCCTTATCATCAAATAATTCATCTTCAATATTTCATGATGAAGTGATATCAAAAAGCTATTTGATGCTTACAAATATTGAATATTACTTCACATTGCCACTTACCTTTCGTTAAACCTATCACTTTGAGTTCGTAAAATGAAACCTAAAAAAGCGCCAAGCTCCATACGTTTAAAGGTTATTTACCTCCAAGACCAAATTTCATAAAAATAAGTTCTTTGCCTTTCGACAAAATATCACCCCCAGGCGCAGTGATTTCGTTCAATTTTTGCATCAAATTCGGACCACCAGGCATACCGGGCATGCCAGGCATATTAGGCATACCAGGCATATTGGGCATACCAGGACCACCTTGTTGCGATTGTTGTTGAGGATTCATACCACCGCCAACATTTGGTATCACTTGCGGAACACCTTTGTGTTGCATCCGTTGATTTTGTTGTTGCTGGTTGAGATTGGTTTGTCCGTATGTTTGTTGGTTTGATGGTTGCGACTGGTTGGAACCTGTAAGACTCGAAAATAGCCCACCCATGGTTGTTGTATTTTGGTGTTGTTGTTGCGATGGCTGCTGTTGGCCGAATTGTTGCGATTGATTCATGGGCTGCGTTGTTTGCATTTGAGACTGGTTACCAGGCCCTGGTCTCAGCATCCCTCTGAGGCCCCTCTGAAAACATTCGTTAATTAGAATTTTTTGGATAAACTTGGGCGGAGAATAATATTCTTGAAAGGTACTCGCGAGTGCTTTATGATGAGTAACTTTGAAACCCAAGTGGTTGAATAGCAAATGATGCTTTTTAAAGAAATACTACTAATGAGTTATTTGGCTAAATACCTAACCTACTAATTGGGTACCTACCTATTTTTGAAAGAAATAAATAACGAGTAGGTACGAATTCTCGAGAAAATGTCTTTTGGCAGTACCTACCAGAAGCTATTGAAAGTTTATTATCAACAAATAAAAATCCAAATGAATATAAATATAGCAAATAATTACAAGGCGCGTATGTCATATTATGGTTCTCATGTCACCCTGAAAGCCCTTTTCCATCTTCGCATCTGATAGCTAATAAAATTTTGAAATCGAAGCATTTTTATTTGTTGTCGGTTAACATTCCTTAAAACCTCAGCTGAAAAAGACTGGAAGCTTTGTTACCCACCCTATAACCTTAAGTTGACTGATGAAAAAATGCCCATATTATGTTGTTGCTCAATGAAGCAAAGAGACTGTTCGCACCCTTTCTGGTGAAAGTACCCAGAAAAAATTTCTTTCCACTCAATCTTGACTTTTCCACAATGATGAAGAACAGACAACAGAAGGAACGAAAGATTGGGAGCTTCTCAAGAATTTTTTTTTCATCGAATTGCCAAAAGATAGACATCTGCCTTAAGACAATTCCGTACAATGTAAAATCATCGAATCATCCCTGTCCAGAAATTGCTCAGTCTCGGAATAAAAATGTGAATGTACAATGGGAGGAATATGAAATTTTCTGGAGGAAGTTATCTTTACATATTATTCTTGAGAGTGACTGAGCTGCAAGAGACAACTCTTCGATTCGACATTTCTACTATAAACTTTTTGGCGAGTAGAGCGTTGAATTGGTTCAGGGCCAACAAGGCATGATTCTACAACTGGAATGGAATGGTCAATTTGTTGCTTCTTCAGTTTGATCTTTCAGATTATCAAGCCGAACTTTTCAAAGGGATCTGAGACAGAAGACAGAACTCAAGAATCATCAGAAGATATTGTGTACTATTATATACGCTATATATGCAAGCCTGGTTCCACCATCTAAAAGCTTCACATAGTTGTTGAACTAGACTTTGATAAACTGAATGTCGAGAGCAGTGGCAAAACTTTCGAAGATTCTCAAAATACTGGAATAATAACTGTCCACTTTATTTTGGGGCAGATTGCTTCCGTTGTGGTACTCCCAATGTGGGATAAGTGTTCTTATTATGGAAAAGTCGGAAAAGGTTCCCGAAGGAACTGATAGATCATCACATTCGCTCCCTCCCTCCATTCTCTAGCGATCCTTTTTTTAGATCAGGTACGCGATCCTAGATTTGGCTCAACTGTCTGCTTCCTGGCAAAAAGCTACAAGTTTACGGGAACGCACCGAATTTACTGTCTCTGAAATATGTTTCTTCCAATTTTGTAGGATGCTTTGCGGGTTGTCCAACGCTGCTGCTACTCGACAGCGTATGGTAGTTACCATATAAGGTCAAGATGATATTGTAATGCAACCATAGTTTCATTGTCAAAGTTATTGCAGCTAAAATGAAAGATTAAAATCCTAAAAATTTAATTCTTAGTTGGTTGATCTTTGCTAAAACGCAAAACATCCCCATAGTTTTTCACCAACGTTGTGACAAGACTAATGCCCAACTGTGTTTTGTTATATCTTGTAGAATTGTACCTATTGTGGTGTAGTCAGATTAAGTAGGCTTAAGTCAAGAAACCGCTCTATGATATGCATTCATTGATATAGAGGGAGCTTTCGATAACACCTCCATAAATCTATAAGAAGAGCGGCTAAAAATAAGGACTTTGATGAAACTACAATTATCTACATGAATTGAAGCCATGCTTGAGAATAGGAAAATCAAAGCAACTATTGGAAGTGACTCTGCAACGTTCTCAGCAGTCAAAGGATGTTCCCAAAGGGGTGTACAGTATCCACTGGTAGTAGAACAACTTCCTATCGCGCTAAGCGCCCAAGGGATCACGGTTCTAGGATATAATGATTGACGACAACCTCACATTTATCATCAGGGGTAAGCATGACAGAATCATTAGTGACCTCATGTAAAATCTCCTAAATGTCATTATTAGATGGTGTATACAGGAGGGTTTAAGGTTTAGGCGGGTTGACCCCAAGAAATCCATAATTGTACCTTTTACAAGCAAAAGGAGGCTAAATCTAACAGCTCCAACCTTAAATAGGATACAAATCATTTTCACAAATGAGGTTAAATATCTGGGAGTCATCTTGGATCAGAAGCTTACTAGGAACCAAAGTCTTAAAAGCGTATCCGACCAGACAATAGCCACATACTGGACATCCGCATGCCGGAGATTCTTCAGCAATACTTGGGGTTTAAAGTCAAAAATGATCTATTGGTTATTAAAAATGGTTATAAGACCCACGGTCACTTACGCTGCAATAGTATGGTGCCCAAAAGTAAAATAACAGACAGCGCAAAACCGATTGGTAACTATACAAAGATATGCATGTGTATGTCTTGGAATTATATTAGCAAAGAACACCTGTCCAACCGCAGCAATGGAGGTCATGTTGGGCCTCCCCCCACTAGATATAATAGCGTTGATAATAGTGAGGAAAGAGGCCTACATTAGACTACAGAGGGCATTTGATAACACCTCTCATGAGTCAAAAAAGAAGAGGTCGAAACCACATCTATCTGGATGTGCGAAACGCTAGCCATCAGAACTACAGAAACTGACTAACGTGGGTGAACAAACCATACAAGTCACCACCACAAGAAGGGGTTTCTCTCACCTTTGATGTGAAGTCCAGTGGTTGATGACCGATCAGGGCTTCACCTGCTTTGGATACGCCGATGATATTGTCATCATGGCCAGAGGCAAATACGAAGGAATACTCTGCGACCTTATAGAAAGGGCACTTCGAACTACGAAGGAATGTCAGATAGTGGGGCTGAATCTATGCTCAGCGAAAATCAGACTGGTAACATTTAAAAAAAGAACGAAATTTTCAAACCTGAGGAACATTCGCCTCGATGGCAGCAGACTTGATTGGGAAAAAGAAGTTAAATTCCTAGGAATAACCATAGACTCTAAACTTTTCTGGAACCGACATGTAGAGAAAACAAAAAACAAAGTAATCATGGTCTGCAAAAACATTGCGGGCAAAACATGGGGTTGTAACTTGTAACGCATCAATCCTAAGATGTATGTATGCCATGATAGTGAGACCTATCATCACCTACGGCGCCATAGCATGGTATAACCCAGCTGGTAAAAGATAGGAAAATCCTAGGAAAAGTGCAAAGATTCGCGTGTCTCTGTATAACAGGAGCAATGAGATCATGCCCAACCGCGGCACTGGAAGTCATTCTAGACTTCACTCCACTCTACATAATAGTGGAGCGGGATGCCAGTGGATCATGTCTCAGACTAGCGAAGATTTACAGGAGAAAATGAACCTTCGCAGAACCTTTCCTCTTCCAAACTGTGCACACCTTATGAATCTACTAAAAGACGTGATTGTTGATAAATTCAGTTTCGAGAAAAACTTTTCTATCGAACTAAGTACAAAAAACAGATGCAAACAGAAGCAAACACTATCAAATGGTACACAGACAGCTCCAAAACTGCTGAGGGAACTGGAGCCGGAGTATTCGGGCCACGGACCAGATACTCGGAGCCAATGGGAAAATCATCAAGTATATTTCAGGCGGAACTTCATGCGATTGGAAGACGCGTGCAGTTCAACCTGAACAGAAGTGATCGAAAACGAAGGATAATAATAATGTTAAAGCATTGAGCTCCGCGGTTATCAATTCTAATACTGTATAGGAATGTCTACAGAAACTAAATGAGCTGGAAAAAGAAAATAAAGTAATCCTCCTCTGGGTGCCCGGAAACATAAGTGTCGAGGGCAACAAATGCGCAAACAGAGTCGCAAAAATGGGAGCGTCTACTCCCTTCACTGGGCCAGAACCATTTTGCGACGTCGGAAATTCGCACCTCCAAGAAATCCCCCAAAAAGAAGAGAACCGGCTAAGGAAGAAACAATGGCTAAAACAGCTGGAACTACGAAACGCCAAAGATCTATTGGGCACCGTCAACCAAAAATGATCAGAACTGCTGGCCATTAAAAAGAAAAGTCTCAAGACTCTAACCGGGTTTCTCTCGGGACATTGCAGACTTAAGAAACACCTAGAGAAATTGGGTTTGGAAGAAGGTGGCACCTGCAGATTCTCTGAAGAGGGGGAAGAGACACCTCACCACACCATCTTCTACTGAGAACCTGGGAAGTACCCTTATACAGTTGGAAGACATTTCATCTCTGGAACCGCTAGATATCCTAAAATCCCTAAAGGACCTAGGACTGGAGGGGCTACTTTGAGCAGAAAACCCGAACTTACGGACCAGAAGTATACGGCCCACTTTGTATCAACAGCCCTAGCCCAACCATATTTCAAGCGGAAATATTTGCAATAGAACTTTGCGCTAGGAAGTGTCTCAAAAGAGCGAAAATCTATATCAATTCCGACAGTTAGGAAGCAATTAAAGCTCTGAAAAGCTCTGTCACTAAGTACAGTCTGGCATGGGACTGCTAACAACTCCTAGAACAACTGATGCCTCGCATTAGAGTTACCCTGTCATGGGTACCAGGGCACCAATTAGTCGAGGAGAATGAAATAGCGGCACAACTTGCAAGACTAGAAGCTGCAACACCATTCCTTGGACCAGAACCCTTCTTTGGCATTACGAAAAGCCATATAATAGGGGAAAGCCATATAGTAGGGAAAAGCCATATATTAGAGGAAGTCCAGAATTGGGTAAAGGCTCAACAAGCCTCCCGCTGGAACACGCTTCCAGGACTTAGACAGGAAGAAGCTAATCCCAGGAACATTATAGCCTTAATCTGGGAACCCACTAGGTATAAGGGA